TTTTATCATGCAATTTTACTATACAATGTTTATAACAAATCAAAGTTGTTTGTCCCTTGCACTTCACTATAAGCATGTTTTACTGTACATATATATACTATATATATATATATATATATATATATATATATATATATATATATATATATATATATATATATATATATATATATATATATATATATGAGGGGTTATCAAAAAGTTGTGGACTGACGCGATAAAATTAATAATATGTAGTCTTTGCTTACAAAATTTATGCGGAACATAAAACAACAAAAGTTTAAGAAATGTTGAAAATTTTAGCTTGATACGTTGATAATTTGCCAAATTATTTTAAAATTAAAAAGACTTTATGTGATCATCCGGCGCTGTCGCCGTTTAGTGTCATGACGTCCGCTTAACGTCATTGTTTCTTAATGTCCGCTCTCTCTACTTCATACACTTATCTTGATGAGATTACCTGGAGTTAAGTAAGGACTTAAACCCGTCTTATTTATATGAATTTACAATGTCATGAGCAGTTGTTTTCAATGCATATAATATTGTAAATGGATCTTTATGTGGGGAAAGATCCTCACTTGATTATGCCAGAATACTTAGCTTGTTGGAGTTCAATTTCTACCACACATGATCAACGTCACTTTTCGACGTGACTGACTTTTGACACCCTGACTACAAATCGACACTAACTGTGCATATTTCATCTCTCTGAATCTTTTGGGGCATTAAAAAACAAGTACTCTGGATGCGTTTTATTTTTCTGTAGCTAGTTTAAACATTCCTTAGGTCAATACCAGTTTTTCCAGGAGCGAAACTCTATAGAGTGTTTGAAAAAGAAACCTCTCACCCTTTTTGACGTTATTTTCAAGCCCATAATTGTTTGAACACTCCATATAAAATTTACGATAAAATTTCACAGAAATTACAGAATGGGGTAAAAATTGCAAATTTTACTGAACAAATGTGTCGTACCACATGCCTGAATTAACGAGATTATTTGATGACAAATACTCATATCTAAAGAGTTTTTCTCAGTTACACTCAGGTAGAAAAAACGTCATATTAGAGGTTGCACCGCCTAGACATACCTTTGCTTACAAAAACACTAACAATTTATTAAAAAATAAAAATTATGATTTATGATTTATTCTATAGATAGAAAAGATGATGCTTACTAAATGTGTAAAAATTCATTGGTGTACCTAAAGCGGTTTTAATTTTATGACGCTAGTCCACGAACTTTTTGATAACCCCTCGTATATATATATATGTATATATATATATATATATATATATATATATATATATATATATATATATATATATATATATATATATAACACAAATCAATCATAACCATGTTCAAATATTTTTAGATTTTTTTGTGGAAATGCTATTCATAAATGTTTGATGATGCAAACACAATTAAAAAAAACATTTATGCATGAACTTGACGTATTGTTTTTTTTTCAATAATTAAATGATTGTATTTTTATGCAAATTTCAAATTTTTGTGGAGTTGAACTTATATGATCAATCTCCCTAGGACAAATCTGATGCACAAACAAAATTACTGTGCAAGTTACTTTTGTGTAGGTTATATAACTATATTTTCATGTTAGCCAATTTACTCAGAAGTGTACATGTGACAGTCATGTACAGTGTATGTACATCTGCTAAAGAGATTAAACACATTATAATCTTTGATTTTCATTTGACATTTTGTAGAAAACAGATTTTAAAAAGGATTATTGTACATGTATAAATTCTAAGTTATAGATTTCTTCAGCTTTCATGTTACAGTTGAACTTCAGTATCTCGAACACGGATATCTCAAATACAATAGATAAGTTGAAGTGATTGGAAAGTCCCCAAGCCCTATTTCTTTAAGTATTTTCCCTCAATATCTCGAACCCACTGATATCTTTTTTCTCGGTCCCATCGAGTTCGAGATAACAAGGTTTGACTGTATATAAATGATTGCAATGAAGACCGCAATTATTATTTTGACCTAATAATGCCAGGATTGACACTGGATGGATGGGTTCAGTCCTGATTAGAGGGGACTGACTGCATAGCATGCCTAAATCTCTAGAATACAAATAAAACATGAGTTTTCAAACCCTATAATATGTATATGTTCACAGTTTATGAAGTAAATACATGTAATACATGAATAAAATAATTTTAGTATTGTTTACAGTTCATTTTGAACTGATGTTACCTGTTAAATCTTTTTGTGGGGGTGGGGTGGAATTACTTCAACAATTGAAAGATTTTTTTCTTTGAAAAGTCAACTTTCAGAAGAAAATTCTGTACTTTGATTTATTTGGTTGTATGATAAAGTTTTGTCATCTTCAGAGTGGATAAAAAGGAAGAAGTGTCGCAAGAATTGGTTGGTGGCCTGGGTAAAGGCAAAGTTTCTCAGCAGTTACATTTATAATGCAAGGAATCAAAAAATTACTGGTAAACGTATCTCAGCAGCTTAAATACCAAATACAATGATTCAAAAACACATTTCAAAGCAAACTAAATGTATAAGAGGAAAATAGTACCAGCCTTCAAAGATCCAACACAGACTTTTAAAAATACAAAGTGCAACAAAACAATGAGTATAAAATATATATGAAAATAATGTAGCAAATTGCTGCTCAAATCTGTTTGCTATAGTTGTGACTTACAGCTTTTGTTGATACAGCTGCATTTGCAATTGCTATCAAAATAGTTTAAAATGGTTAAAATGGTTTTAAAAATCCTAAATGCATGAGTTTTCACCCAATATTTTTTTAAGGAGAACATTGTTGCAAATATATATTGATCCAATAAGGCACGCATAATACATTACTTCCAAGAAATCTTTTTTCTCCCTTCAAAATAGCAAATACATGTACTAATAAAGACTAATTGCATATCGTATAGTCAATTGTTGACAAGACAAAAAGGTGTTAAGAAAGTTTTATCTGCAATGAACTTCATTTTTTTCCCATTAATTTTACACTTATCACTTGTAAAAATGGTTTGATGTATCACAGACAAGGGTTTAGTTATAAAATATCACAAATGTCTTATATGTTTCTGAGTTTGTTTGCTTGTTTGTTGATGTTTTTTTTTTTAATTGTAATCACCTGACATGGGTACAGTTTATGATGGAACAAGTTTCTTAACCTGTAAATACTAGTACACATATATGATTATTCTCTGCATCCAAGATCAGATTTCAAGCCCATTATTTCATTTCCATTGATTGGGTGATTATTGTACTGGTACAACTTATCTTCAAATAGGAATGAATACATACACAGACTTTATGGAAGAGGTATGGAACACCGGGTTATAATAGATGAAAAGTATTCAATGCATAAGATAATATTTTGGTATTAGTTCTAAAATGTTCATAAGTTAGCAAAAGTTAGCATTTTTAGTGTAAAATAAGGAGGAAAATATTAAAATCTGACCCTTCTGAGATCAAAACCTTGATCTGTAGTTTTCTAATCCACTCTTGATCTGGATAGCTAGTGTTTTTGAACTTGACAAATAAAAATATAAAATTGACCTTCAACTTTGCAGTTGACTTAAGACATACTTACATTCGAAAACATGTTGAAAACAAGAGGTCCATGGGCCACATCGCTCCCCTGAGCACTTTGGCTAGGAAAAAGCAGAAATCAGTTCAGTATTAAAAATTCTAAATATAAAATATCAAAGTAGTTCCAGAGGGGGGGGGGGGGGGATGATTTGAATGAATTTGAATCTACACCACCTAATGATGCTTTTGAATTAATATGACTTATAATGGCTCTGCTGTTCTTAAGAAGAATTTTTTATTGATATATCCTTTATATAACTATGATCCCCTTTTATGGCCCCTCTGTACTTCTGGGGGATCATGATTTGAACAAATTTGATTCTACATTACCTGAGGATGCTTATATTTTATCATGACCAATCACGGCCTTGCTGTTCTTGAGAATAAGATTTTTAAAGATTTTCCTATGTTTTCCAATGGAAAACTTTGATTGCCCATTGTGGCCCCACCGAACAAACTTAAATCTACACTACCTGAGGATGCTTCCATATAAATACATGTATGACCCATCATGGCTTTGCTGTTCCTGAGAGGAAGATTTTTAAAGATTCTAAGTACCCCTGGGAGTCATGATTTGAAAAAACTTGAATCTTCACTACCTGAGGATGCTTCCACATTAATTTGGCCAATCATGACTTTGCTGTTCTTCAGAAGAAGATTTTTAAAGATTTTCCCTATGTATTCCTATGTAAAACTTTGATCTCCCATTGTGGCCCCACCCTACCCATGGGGGTCATGATTTGAACAAACTAGAATCTACACTGCCTGCATGAGGATGAATCTTTATAAGTTTCATATTTTCTAGCACAGTGGTTCTTGAGAAGAAGATTTTTAAATGATGCCATTAATTTTTCACCAATTCGTAATTATCTCCCCTTGGAAGAAAGCATGGCCCATGAATCCCCTTTACTCAAGGAGTCTTTGTGGCAAGTTTGGTTGAAATTTGCCCAGTGGTTCTTGAGAAGATGAAAATGTGAAAAGTTTACAACGACGACGACAATGACAGACAACGGAAAATTTCGATCAGAAAAGCTCCTTTGAGCCTTCGGCTCAGGTGAGCTAAAAAGATTTATTCATCCTCAATTTGCAAAATATATGAGTACTAGTTTGCCTCATTTGCACTGTGATGGTGTGGTACCCTTTAAAATTTTTCTACTGTATTTTTAGAAATTCTTTTCTCAGAAATTTAAAATTAAGTAAAAATAAACATATTTCCCTTAATTTGCTTAAAGTCATGGACAATTCTTTTTGATTGAATTTATACATACCATGCAACAAGCATGGAGTTATTAACTACAGCTTATACTGTACTTCTACCAAAATATAATTAGCTTGAAAAATGGTTGATGCAAATGTAAGGCTGATTGTCAGGAAATGACTACAAATTTCTACTAAAGTAGGGTCATCATATTTTTTGGTCATTTTGCACCATAATCATTATGAACAGAATACTATTGTGCTTTCTCCCTGTCGTCCATAGATGAGTTCCATCCTCTTGCGTTGGTGGCCATTGTTGGTGAGGGTGTCTTTAACGAGTTCTAGTAACTTGTCGGCTTTGTGTCCAATCTCTGACTTATCTCCACACCGGTCTTGGATGTAATTACAGAGGGACATCTGCATCAGAAATGTTTCATCACAGATATTAGCCGAATTCTCCTCGGGGCATGCGTAGACTTGAAGAATTTCTCGTAAATTGGTTGTTTTGGTGCCGTTGATATCAACAATTGTTTCCCGCCAAGTGGACATCCTCAGAATCAGCAGGGCAAACACTCGTATGTCACTAAAGCAGATTTCCTCATATAATTTAACCATTGTGTATTCGTTCATTTTAACAATCATCATGGCTTGTAAACACATTTTAAAAAACAATCGTTTTAGAACTTTTTGTAATCGGTTGATTATTTTCATTTTTCTGTCGCTATCTCGAAAAAATTTTCCTATCTTTGGATAACGTTGCTTGTCAATTTCAAATGGACTTTTAACCATGATTCTCATGATACAGAGGCAACCAGGGTCTGTGATCTTGACTTCTTGCTCTGTAATCCCTTTCTCTGTGTTATGAGTGCGTGAGATAAGAATACAGCCATCCTCTCTCTGTTTTGTGACTGGGTCAGTCAATGTCAGTTGAATATACATTTTCGAAATAGATGGTAACTCATTCCTTAGTCATTCAATACATATATTACCTACAATAAAAATAGATTATTTATGTTTTAGGTAGAGAAATGGATTGCTTATTTGAATCAAGGATTAATATTGAGCAGAGTGAGTTCTTAAAGCAACGCCTTTAATGAAAAGGAAATTTGGACTAGTGTAACAACTGTGTAATGCACATTGATCAGAAAATTTTTCCTCAAGACCCACAATGCAATGCAATAATGCTTTTCCATATCTGTGATACTGCTGTTTGGTTTACGTTCTATCAGTAATAATCAAGGAAAAGTTCACAAATAATAAAGAAACTTGTCTTGCTTTCATTGGAAATTGCATATAGATAGTAGATTAAATACTCTTTGCTAAATATTTGCCCTTTTTGAGACTTTGTCATGAAAAGGCAACTTAAAAATACAATGTCTTGTGACATCACAGTTTAGACTTTCTCATGCAGTCTGAAGAGGTGGATCTAAGATAAAAGTGAATAGGTATCCATATATAATAAATTGTAAACAATTGCGCTTGCTCCAATGGTCACACCTTCAACAAATTATGATAAGTACTATAAAAGGAGAAATATTTGTTGGGGATTAAATTTTGTTTCTTTCCTTGATAACAATTATCAATGAAATTAAATCCCACATGAAATTTTATATGTCTATAAAGTGAATATGGTTACTTTTGAAACAATGAAATTTAATACTCCTGAAACCTTTTTAGAGGACAAATCAACAAACTTTTATTTCCACGAAAATATGTGCTAAATCTACAGAATATATATAAAGGTCCTTTTAATTGTTTAATTAACATCAGATGAAACGTTCCTCAAAAATATGTAATTTTCCCAAACTTATGATAGAAGTATTGTTACTTTAAGAAGTTTCCTCACAAAAATTAAGGTACATTACCAGGCATTTGTGAAGATTCTGGATGATGGTATTTCCTATATCATATAGTATATGTATGTAATATCCAATTGTAAATCACTGGAATTGCTGATATCACAATTTTGGGTTTTTAAACTTTTTCAGACATTTTAAAAACGGTTTAGACATAAGTTTAGAAATCAGAAGATATAAATTTCAAATAATGTTGGTATCATATTACAATGAAATGCACGGATATTCGAGGAACGTGTCGTCTGATCTTAAATTAACAAAAAATATTGAAATGAAATTTGATAATATTTTTCAACTGCAAAACATTTTATATACAATAGTGTTGAAAAATTGAAACAAACCTCGACATATTAATGCTGTCGATTGTGTTTCAGTGAATGAGGGAAAAAGTCGATGCGTAATTTTGAGTTTGTCTACAAGTAGTATTAGATCATAAACTAATTCATTCACAGCTTATTTTTCTTTAAAAACATTAAAACAAAAAAGATATTCTTACTTTGGAGTAAATTTCTCTTAAGAACGCCGCAGGTGTGTGAATTTATCAGGAAAAGTGACAAGTAGCCGACATTCCTACTTTCGGTTTCGTCGATAGGGGTTTGGTAAAACTAGTTTCAATACACTGTTCAGGATCCCATGGTTTATTCCTGTTTCGCATACGTATAAAAGTATTGTGGAGAAAAATATATATTTGTAAGGCAGGAATTGTAGACCAGATAAATTTAAAGGAGGTTTTTATTTATACATTGTGCTTAAGCTTACACTCAGTAAACTTGACATAAAAGATACCACGGAGTCTGATACATATGTTTAATATTTGGATATTTTACTAGAAAAAGACGTTAATGGTAACTTAACAACGTAACTTTATGATTAACGTGATGACTTCAACTTTTCTATCGTCAGCTTCCCTAATTTATGTAGCAATATACCCCTTATCACCTGCATATTGAATATATATGTCTCCCAGTTGATTCGATACGCAAAAGCATGCTTTATTAGTCTACGAACAATTTCTAAATGGAGAAAACCTATTGACAAACAAGTTGATGAAACAAGGATATCAACAGTCTTGTTTGAAGTCAACATTTTGCATGTTCTGTGGTTGATACATGACCTTGTCAGAAAATACAATCTATCATTAGTCGAATACTGACTGACGTTTTTCATACTAATTGTTAGGCGATTATTGCGCATTGAATTATCTACGGATTTTTCTAATAGCCCGATTATGACTCTGCATGCACGGGTACCTCTTCAAAAATTGCGAAATTCATGTCCCCCGGGTCAGGGGTTCTGGTATTTGGACGGGGCTCTATTGATTATATCGCAAAACTGTATTAATGCTTTGAAAATCTTCTCATCTGCTCCTGATTATTAAGCTAACCATCTAAATGCAATAATACAGGCTATTTGATTGAATGAGAGCCAGGGTGACTAGGGGATAAAAACAAAAACTTCAGTAATTTTGTAGTTTACAGTTAACTAAGCTCTGTCTAGACTTGCGCAATTACATATAAATGTACATGTATCTAAACAGCATATAACCTTGGACCAAAACTGTCCATCAGTATATAATAATGATAATATATACAAGTACATATAATACATGTATTTTATAATAATTGAGATTCTTAAGGATCGCTTCTAAGATGGGGAATGTTACCCATGATTAAGTGTTCCTCGGTTCCATCTACTAAATTCCACTTTTTAAGGAGATTATGTATGACATAAGTATAATACAACATATTGTAATTTTTAAATATACTATATAAACATATGAAAATCAACCTTAAGCAAAAAGTTATTATTCTATGTAAAAGAAACGAAAATCTGACCTTGGACTCCCTAGGAAACATGAAACCATCTAAAAACGGTAAGGATAGTCATCTATCTAAGAAAATTGACTTAAGAATGTGTCTTCTCCTACCACCAATCCCCCCCCCCCCCTCCTCCCCTTACGAAATAGTATTTTTAGGTTTGGGCAAGTATTTTTTCCTTGTCATTTTTTTAAAGACTGTTACAGTTGTTACAGTTGATGTGGACCCCCACCCCTCTCCAAGAAATAATCCTGGATCCGGTCCACCCCTCATATTTGTGGTATACCCTGTCTGCTCTTGCATTAGTACTGTCTGGATTCAATATTCAGATTTGTGACAAAAATCTAACGCGGGAAATATGGAAATATGCTTCTTTAGATTACTCTGAAAAGGTTGTGTTAAATATGGTTGCCCTTTACAAAAATTTCAAAATATGAAAGGTGTATATAAAAAGCATTTGGTCGAGAGTTCCATGCATTGCACTCTTGAATGAAGACACATATGTATCTTTTTTTTTTTTTTTTTTTTTGAATATTTCAAGCTTTACATCACATGCCCAATTTATTCTTATACAGGTATTCATGGAAAGATCTTGAAATGCGATTTTCTGTTAAAACAGTTTACACAAGAATTTCATTTTTTTAGGTCACCCGAGTCACTCAGGTGACCAATTGCTATCTGATTTCGTCCGTCGTCATGCGTTGTGCAATGCGCATCGTCCGTTAACATTTGAACATCTTGGCATACAGCATATATCATGAATAAAGGGGAGCAAAATTTGTGAATTTCATAGTCCCTGTCCCCTGGGGCCTGAGGAGTGGGACTAAAACCATCAAAATTATTGCTATCTTTTAAAATCTTCTTTACTCCTGGACATCAAGCAGTTGAACTATTGTCATGATTGTAATAAGTATTGAGTCCTCTACCAAAATTATGAAATTCATGGTCCCAGGGTCAGGAGTTCTGGTGTTAAGGTAGGGCTCAGTATTGGCTATATAGTGAGAATGCATAAAATTTTTGGGAAATCTTCTCTGCTATTGGGTATTAAACAGACTAAGTAAATAGTTATGATGAGCAAGGATGCCTCTTCCAAAATTATGAAATTTATGGCCCCGGATCAGGGGTCTGGTGTTAAGGTGGGACTGTACTGATTATATAGTGAAAATAAAATTTTCAATTCTTTATTTCTTTGAAAATCTTCTTCTCTGTTACTGGGTATTATTTAAACAAACTAAGTGCATAATCATGATTAGCAAGGATGTCTCTTCGAAAATTGTGAAATTCATGGCCCCAGGGTCGGGAGTTCTGGTAAAGGGGGGGGGGGGGCTCTATTAATTATATAGTGAAAAAGCTTTATTTCTTTGAAAATATATTCTTTTCTGCTCCTGGTTACAAGGCAAAGAAACTAAGTGTATAGTTATAATGAACAAGAGTGCTTCTTCCAGAATTGTGATTTTCATTTCCCCTGGGTCAGGGGCGGGACTCTATTGATTATATAGTGAAAATGCATTAATTATATTAAATAATCCTGTCTGCTCCTTGGTGCTGAGCAGATACACAGTGTTATGATGATTAAGAGTGCTTCTTACAAAAATAAAATCAAACTTGTGGTCCCAGGGTCAGGCGTTCTGGTGTTTACAATGTATCTAATTAAAGGGGGAGGCCGGGGGCTCTATTGATAATATGGTGAAACTGTGTTAATTCTTTGAAAAACTTCAAATAAATGCATAGTTATGATGATGAAATTACCTCTTCCAGTTTTTAAATTCCATGACTCTGCATGCATGGGTCATTGGTTCTGGTGTTAGGGTAGGACTGTCTTGAATCTGTCATGGAAATAAATTATTTCTTTAAAAATCTTCTCTTCTCCTGGACATATCGGAGGCAAAGAGTGGAAAAGTTTTAATAAGCATGCAAGGCTATTTTACCCGATTTTTGAATATCTGGACCATTTGGTTAAGTGTTCTGGTCCTGGCCACGGCTCTAGCTATTAATTTGAATTCTACTGAGAGAAGGTATTCCCCTTTGCCACTCACTTTTGATAATTAATCACTGTAAATAATGTATATGAAAGGTTAATAGAATAAGTGAATTATGCAAGAATTATTATTGTATAAATACAAAAAGTAGTTTTATAGTTTTAATGATCAGGTAGAGAATGTTGACGCACATGCCAGAGATATCGATGGAATAGCGCATAAAGGAAAAGGTGCTTACTGATTTCACATAAAATATGATCAGATGATAGATATAATATATTCAGTGTGATTGTTATTTAATTTGGACGCATTCTTGAACTTCTCCGCAATTGATTGTAGATTTTCAGTATGCAAAAAAAAATAAAAAAAAATGACGTAACAATCGCATTCGTTTACAAGCAGCTCGGAGTTCCCGTAAGTGACGGAGTTAGGGGGTTTGGCGATATACTATCATCTATGTACACAAAATATTAACACATCCTCCTTTCTTGAATACTAGAAAATAATTTCTAGTACATGTATATTTTTTTTATATTCTTGCTAGCATCCTTTAGGTGATAATCAATATCATTATAGAAGTTAGTAAAAACCTATATTCAACAACAAGACATTGAATTTCCTCTACTTACTTTCTTACAATAACCCCCCCCCCCTCTTCTTCCAAGTAAAAAATCGGTGTCCTAGATTTACACAATGCTGAGCCTCCTTTTTCTGTCAAGTCAAAGAAACGTTTAAATAAATAGGAAAACTAAAGGAATCCTCACAAGCGTAATTTTAACCATGATGTTGTTTACTTTCGGCGGGACGGATCACTTCATGTTCATTCAAATTATTGTGAGTAGTTTAAAAATAATGCTCTTCTTTCAATGGTTAGATTTAGGTGTATACATTAATAACTTTGTGTTAGAAATTGATTAATGTTGCATTAGGTAGTTAAATAGTTTGTTCTTTTTAAATTCAGGTACGTAGAAAAAGTAGGTTTGAATTTTGAATTAAACAACAGAAAAAAATGATTGATTGGTTCTCGGATCTCCAACTCAAATAGTCTATTGGTATTAAAATTGATGTTAAAACAGTTACAAGAATTATTTGTTTTATTCATAAACGTTTAATCATTTTCAAACATCTTGGTTTAATCACGAACCTTTTTAAAACGCACAGTCACTGTTCTACTCGGGTTACGTATTTAGTCTTGCTATTCAACAAAGACATTCCATTGAACATGTTCATTGTTGAAGTTTTAGTCGATTTACTAGGAAATAAAATATAAATATTTGCGCATTTTACTTGATATGGGGGAAAAAATCAAAACAAAAGTGAAAATGTATGGGGGAAAAATCAAAACAAAAGTGAAAACGCAAAAATCTATTTAAGAATAACCTCCCCTAGGATATAATCCGAGAGGACCATAGAGTTTTTTTGGGAAAAAAGTTTTAATTGCAATATTAAATCTTATCTGGGGATATACTAATAATATAATTTTAACTTGTTTTGATCCTAATCATTGTTACTGTTTTACTTTAAAAATAATAGTAATAAAATTTCTTCTTTGGTAGGTAGGTCTTCAGAATTAAATTTAAACCCACACACAATGACACATACTTAGGAAACCTCAACTCAGGATTATATTCTTCAGAATTACAGCTATACTTGTCAGCAATTTAAAATCCGCTCTAATCAGTTTATATAAATAATTTCATATTTAGTGGAGAGCCTTT